CTCTCTCTCTCTCTCATTTATTTGCTTGGTTGAATCCATCTCTTCTTCTTTTTCTTTTTATTTTGAATTTATTTATTCTCATTTTTTATTGTTCTCTAAAATTTTGAAGCCATCTCTTTTTTTTTTTTCTATGTTTTCTTTTATTTTCTCTCTTTTTCTTTGGACATAGACATACACATCCATGTTCTAGTTCTAAACTCTATTTGTTTTTTTTTTTAATTAATTTTTTCTCTTATTTGACAATTCTTGTTAGATCTTTTATTTGATTTCCATTAATAGTTTATTATTTTTTTCATGGATTGATAGACAATGCAAGTGGAAGTGGATCAACAAATATCTTATCAAAATCAAAGACAAGTAAATCAAAAGAAAATATTGGGTGACAATACAACAAATTGGTAGACCTTGATAACACAAGCCACGTGATGTATAACTTTTGGAACAAAGTTACAACTGGTGGATGACTAGAGTAAAGCGACACCAAATAGGGATTAAGGGAGACATGGCAACAGATGGTTAGGGATGAATTTGCAAATCTACAAAAGAAAAATTTAGAGAACGAGATATTATCAATTGGTGGCAGTAGTTTTGATGTTGATGATTTTGGTTTTGGTGATAAAGAGAAAGTTGAACTAAGAGAATTGCCAAGAGGTTTTCATGGTTCTACTTTATCCATTAAAGGGCCTAAGAACAAGAATGCTAAGACAACTGGAAGAGTTAAAGGCCTCATGGATTTATTTACGTATTGAACACCAAAAGTTGTTCTTGAAAGGAGGAGGTTGAAACATGACAAGGGTAAGTAATTAAATATAAAAGAGTATAACAAAGAAATGATGCCATTGACAATTCAATATATAGATTCTTTTATGAAAATGAAATTGCATTCAATGTGGTGTGTTCAACATGCTTCAAGAAAGTGGTAGAAGCAATTAAGTAATATGGGGTTTGAGCATACAAAGAAGCCATTGGAGTACCATATGAGTTAGTGAACAAGATATGGGGTCATTCTTATCTTTGATGGATGGATAGATAGGAAATAGAGGAGCATAATTAATTCTTAGTCAATTCTTCTATTGGTATGATATTTATTAAGTCTATTGATGCTTCCTCTTTTATTAGAATAGGAGAAAAGTTGTTTAAGTTAATTGATGGTGTTGTGGAGGAGGTTAGAGTGGAAAATGTTGTTCAACTTGTTATGGATAATGGAAGCAATTATTTTGCAACTAGTAAGTCATTTAGTTCTTTGTTATTTGGACTTTGTCTTATGTTATTTTTATGTTTCTTTTTTGCTTTGTCTTATGTTAACCATGAACTCATTCATTGTTTCTTTTTTTCTTAGACCCCATTCATTTCGATTCTTTGTCTGTTGGTATTTTGACTTTTTTTGCTTTGATTTTTTTTTTTTTTTGGCTTTGTTTTATGTTAACCATGACCTCAGTCTGTTTGTTTCTCTTTTTTTTTTTTTTTTTTTTTTCCTCAGACCCTATTCATTATGTTCTTGTGGTATTTTGATGTTTTTTTTTTCTTTGTCTTATGTTAACTCATGGGTCTTTTAAGTAAACTATTGGAGGAGAAAAGAAAGCATATATGTTGAACTCCATGTGCTGTACATTACATTGATCTTATGCTAGGACATATTGGAAAGATTTTAAAAGTGAAGTGAGCAATACAAAGAGTAATGAGTCTTGTTCAATTCATCTACAAGAACTCAAGACCTTATATTTGATGAGGTGCTTCACTAACAACACTAAATTGGTTAGACAAGGGGTGACAAAGTTTGCTACCTCACTTATTTCATTACAAAGTGTATACAAGCAAAAAGCTAATTTTAGAAAGATGTTAACATTTGATGATTGGGTGAGTTATAAGTTGGGTAGAAACTCCAAAGGAGTAAATGCAGTGGGTATTGTGATGGGTGTCACATTTTGGAATGGTGTGTTGTATGCTTTTAAACTTATGGATTCCTTTGTTACTGTTTTATGGCTTGTTGATAGTGAAAAGAAGTCAATTATATCTTATGTTTATGAGGCGATGGGCAAAGCAAAGAATGCCATCAAGATATTACTAAATGAGGACGTAAGCAAATACAATGAAATATTTAATATTATTGATAGAAGATGGGAATGCCAACTTTATCAACCTTTGCATGTAATAGCTTATTACTTAAACCTGACAATTTTTTACAACATTCGAAACATGGATTGAGACTTGAGACTTACAAGTGGATTGATGGGGTGTATTAAGAAGATGGAGCCTAATATTGAGATACAACTTAAAATATATGAGAAGGTGGTAATTTATAATAGAGTACAAGGCCATTTGGTGAAGAGTTAGTAATTATATCAAGGGTTTTAAAGGCTTTTGGTAAGATCTTTTTGAATTTTAAATTTCTTTTTATTAGTATTAACATCAAGAAATTATAATATTTTAAATACTAATCATAATTTTACTATTGGCATTTGTTTTTGAATTGTGGAAATTGTTTGGGTATATGGCTCCAAATTTGCAAAAACTTGCTATTAATATTTTGAGCTTGACATGTGCATCTGGGTGTGATTGTAATTGGAATGTTTTTAAACAAGTCAATTTCTAATTTTACTAATTGTTAGTCAATAAATGTTTCAAAATTAATTTTTTTATCGAAAAATAGTTACACATCTTTTTTTTTTTTTTTTTGCATTTTTAGATTGATTCTAAGAAAAGAAAAATAGACTTGAGCACCAAAAGATGCATGACTTGGTTTTTATAAAGTATAACCAAACACTTAAAGTATTATTTGAGAAATAAGCATGATTTAAGAACTGAGATTGACCAATTAGTCTAAGTGATATTGTTATAACAATGAGTGGTTGATTGAAAAGATGGGCAACAATAAATATGTTGAAAATGATTTTGTTTTTCCAAATGAAAATTTGACATTGGGAGATGTTGAAAGGGCATCAAAGGTTGAGACAAGTAATAGTGGTAAATGTGAAAAAGGCCAAGTAGATAATGATAATAATTATGAGGCTGAGCAAGAGGAAATGAAAGTTGAAGAGAGTGATTTTGATTATTAGATTCTATAATAAACTTTAGATTTTTAATTTGTATGAATTGAAATTATCAGTGTTTATGCTTTTTAATTTTGTTATGTTATGTGAATTCTAAATTTTTAAGCCTTTTCC